AATTTATACATGAAAATTACCTTGAACTAACAAGGGTCCACTAAACAAAAACATACATCGAAACTAAAGATACCTAATAAAACTAGAATGTCTCCTAGATCAATCCTCGGGGTCAGACTCAAGTGGCTCAACATCCACTTACTCGTATGGAATTGACAATGCCAATGTAACTCCAGCGGCAACAAGGGCTTTGAGCCATCGATGTTTGAATCCCCGATTCTTGAATTTGGGGACCTCATCTGCGTATTCCTTTAAGGCGGCGCTCTTCCCAGCTTCTAGCGCCGTAGAGGCTTCAGATTTGGCTTTTTCCTTGGCCGCCTTCAACTCTTCTAACTCGGCCTCTGCTATCAAAAGCGCCTCCTGGGTTAACTTGAGTGACTCCTTGCTCGCGCTGGCCCTATCCTCGGCTTCGGATCTGAGCTGGTCAACAGTCCAAGCCCTCTCCTTTTCTGCTTCGGGTTGAGCACTTTCCATTGCGGCTCTCATCGCCTCGAACTCGGCCCTACTTCTTTCACCCTCAGCTTCAAACTTTAAGCGGCCAATTCTTTCAATGGCATCACCCTGCCAGCGGCCTAGATCGGCTATCCTTCCAACCGTTTGCAAAACCAGTTTGGGTCACCACATCAAGCAACGTCGTATGCAAACCAAACCAAACCAAACGAGCAAAAATGAAAGTATCGTATACATACCAGAAAGGCCAACTGGGCAGCGAATGCTATAGCTATCAAACCCGGCTCTTCTCGAAAGGTGGCCCTGTCAGCTGATAGCGAAATTGAGGTGGCCAAGCTCAATGCCACAGCTGGATCCTTCATGGTAGATGCATCAGAGGAGATTTACATGTCTTTGATCTTTGGCTGCACAACGAAGGGGACAACCACGTTGGACTCTTCTAATCGAGGCCGTTTGTCAGCAGGGCTATCCTCTGAGCCAGCCTCTCCCTTGGCAGAACATTTTTTGCCCCGCTCTTTTGAAACCAGCCGTTCTTCCGTAACCTGCTGTTCAGCTCCCTCTGTCTCGGCCACAACAACTTGAGCCATTTCTTCTCTAGTAACCGGTTGTAAAGATTCAACCAGGGCACAAGCAGCCTCGGCTTTCTTTCGGGCGGCCATTTGCTCGGCATTTTTCTTTCTCGCCATCTGCGTGAGATTTTCCCCAGCCATGCGTTCAGAAAAAGTGTTAGGTAGATCTCCCAAGTTTGTAAAAATGTCTCCGAAGGAAAACTCCACCCGATCCAAAGTGGACGAAGAGTTAGGCTCGTTAAGATCGGCTGCTGCAAACGCTGATTTGAGGGCTTCGTCGACTTCTTCGGCCTCCGTAGTGAACACCTTCGTTGATTCGGCAACTACTTCGACCATCGACTCTAAGCCTTGCTCCGAATCGGAAGCCTCAAGACCAATTTGCCTGAGGGTCTTGAAGCTAGGGAAGACAAGAGCCGTAAGGTGCTGTTCACCGGTTGGGATCAGAATATCGTCCACGGCCGAGAATGTGGTATAAGTAGGCTCGTACCACAGGAGAATATGGGTGGCCCTCCCTTGCTTCTATACGTTCAGACAACCAGAGTACTTTAGTGTTGTTTTAATTTCCACATGGACTGCGTCGTCAGCCGAGGTCAAAATCCTCTTCAGCTTATGAAAACCCCGCATAAAAGAAAGGTCAACAGACAAAAAGTTATACGGCAACCTGGTTCACCCCTCCGTCTAGGAATAGGGTCTAGGCGATCTTTGCCTTCGCCGAATTCCCAGTTACCTCGGACATTAACCATTACATCGTTGACTCGTTTGCCAGAGTTGGCAAGCATTGTCACCAAGTGATGGTCGGTGTCCTTGGCCCTGAGAAAGTAACGCCCAAGCCGACCGGAGGATTTGGCCAAAGCATAGCAATGCCGAATCGGCGGAATGCCAAGGTTGATCCCGAGACGCAGGTTCAGCTCTACGATTCCCATTATGATTCGAAAAAAGTTTACATTGGGTTGCGAAGGAATCAGACTCCAATAGCGGAGGACGGCCCTGAGAAATGGGTGTAGGGGAAAGTGAACTCCGCCCTCCACAATAGACAGGAGAGGGAAGACGATTGCATTTCGGTCATCCCTCTCCATATCTAGGGTATTGTTCGTTACCAGAGCAAGATGGACATCCTCAGGAATAGAAAAATGTTTTCGGAATCCAGAAATTCGACCCTCGGAAAGGAGGTCTTTCAAATGCTTAGCCATTCTAGCAAGGACTCAAGGATATTCTAAAATCAAAAATAAATACCAAAAATAGGATTGCAAGAAGAAGAAAAGGAAACTTACAAAAGGCAAATGAGACAAGGAGAGAACGGACAAGAGTTACAGAAAACGCGTCGAAGAAGAGATACCGACTGGCAGTCCAGGAGGTTCGAATATTTGAAAAAGCATGTTTTTGAAGGGACTTAAGTTTCAAATCATAATAAATGCGAGAAAAGCACGAATGGGGCGGGAAAGCGTTACAACGACCCAAAAGCACGCACGCATTCTGACACGCATCGGGAAAAGGATTAACCGCCGAAGTTTTGACTTCTAGTCAAACACGCCGACTAACTGCCGCTAGCGATGTGTTTGGGGGGCAATTGTGGGAGCCGGATAATTGGAATAATCAGAAGCGTGCGCTACAAGACTGACATTACACGGCTTTATCCTGACGATAAGGATGCCGAATATAATAGATGGGCCGAAGAGATACTGAACTATGGAGCCGAGTAAATGAGAGGATAGTGAGTGACAAGTGGGCCTGGCCATGAGGCTCAGGAAACAAGTATAAATAAAGGAACAACAGACTGAAAAAGGTATGTGAGAATTGTAGTGCTTAACTTAGAATGCAAACATTCCTGAGTGTGGTTACTGACTTGTCCGTCGGAGTGCTAATTCCGGCATCCCCGACCGGAGTGTTTATTCCTTTTCAGGTGACCAGAAGAGGATCATGAGCGTTCCCCAGGATCAGAAGAGTATTTCCGAACCACTTCTTCACACCATAAAACAAATGCAAACATTTGGAATATTCCTAGAGATATATGCTTTCAGTTAATAGACCTTATCCACACAAAATATATGAAAACAAGTGTTAGTGATTCAGGCCTGGTTTGGTCGTAGCATCTTTACATGATCTTTCTTTCGATCTAATAATTCCTGATTTTGGGTTTGTTGGTCTTCTTGACCATCATCTTTTGCAAGCTGTTGTATACCACTAAACCACAATTTATTGACTACATCAGTTTTTTTTCGCTTCTCACTACTAAAAATTCTTGGATATGGGTGCATTTTCACAATAAGAATTCATTACTCTAGTCTCTAGTACATATACTAGCACTTAGAAACAACAATCATGACATGTCGTGAATAAACAAAAATCATTTCGATTGTGCAATTGACAAGGTGAACAAATAAAACACATATTTTGATTAGTTAAAAATGTGATGGAGATCCATCCAACTTGTTTTTTTTTAAGATATAATTCTGCTATCAAATTGCAAGAATAATTATTAAATTTTACTTAGTCACACATTATATGATTAACATGTATGCACAAATTAAAAAATATATATATTTAAAACTAAAAAAATAAAAATAAAAAGATCATTCTATAGAAATAGAATCATATGTACCAGAACAATTATGGAGGTTCAATGTCTCCTCACTGAGTGATTTTCAAATAATAAAAAACAGGAAAATGGCACATATCTAGATGCGATCAAGAAACAAGGAATGCACAATGCACAATATCATGATTGTAAAGCTAAAATTAAAATTAGAAACAAAATCATAATATATGTGAATCACAACAGCAACCATTGTGTAAGAAAGAGTTACCATACCTATTGCTTCTCCTTTCTCCTCCGGATCAAATCCTAACCTAAGATCAGTTTTTACTGGACACATAGAGAGAAACTTCTCTATTGAGGCTGGCTGCTGTTGATGAAAAGTTCAACATTACTTACTGCACACCTATTTTCACTGGTAACATAATATGAAGCTGGACCCAGAGTCCCGTTATTCCTCTCGTAAATAATATGATTGTTAGATGTAATCTGTGGACCACCGCACTTAATTGAAATGTTATAATCTGTCAATCAATAGGAAAGAAAAAAATTATCAGATTGAATTCAATTAGGTCATTCAATTAACAAAAAGTAAATATCAGCCATATCTCGTTGTTCATATGTGTTTTATGGGTTTAATGCACTTTATGGCTGGGAGTTCTCTCAACAATAGAAAGACAAATTTGAGTCCATTCTGTCCACTACACCAAATTATATAATCTATGTTTCAAAATTGCATATTAAAAATTTATGAGTAAAATTCATACACTGATCTCAAATAGATGTGATCCCATTTATCCTTGTATTATGGATGTACATATTCTACTCTCAGAATCATAGTTTAGGAGATTTCTAAACTGCACTTACAGACAGAAGAATTGTGGTTGCAGGGAAAATTCCTTTGAAGACACCTCACTACAGAAGGCAGAACACTGAAAGCAGAGGAAGAATGCATATTATTGTAATAGTTTCCTTTAGTTGTCGAACAATCATAAAAATCTTTAGTGTTTCTTTAGTTATCAGGCAATCATATCAAATCCAATAGACAAGACCATTATAAAGAATGCAGAAGAGAAATAATGTATACTGAAACACAAAAACATAATTATATACAGTAAATCCCATTCAACTCAATATCTAGACTACATATAAGATCAATGAAATATTCCATATCTTCAGAACTAGAAAGGTGCCATCATCATTATTTCACATATATTTATGAGCACATATCAGCATCATAAAAAGTTCAAAAAACTATTGCATTCAGCAGCACTGTCACATATGTTTGACTACTCAAGTAGGTGCTGGTAACCAACTCATGTTGTTCAATGCTAAAACAATTTAATGGGAAAGAAACTAACTTTCATTTAGTGTTGTTGTTTCACTGAATGTTCAGAATCGTATGTAATAAAAACAAAAAGCATACAGCAGGGAGAGAATCACTTGTTGTTTGAACTTTCCACTGTGAAGTTATTGGCCACTAAATTACTGCATATTAGACCCTAGAAAATCTCAATGTCAGTTTCAGTTCCAACACTTGGAAATCTTACCTCAGTGTGCTCAATAATGTGACCATTTTCATCTCGCAGCCTGAAATAGATTTATGAATCCATTTAATCAAATTTACATTTACAATTCACAAAAGAAAGAAAACTAAATCTATGGGTTCAAAATGCTAAACCTCAAATGCTAAAAAAAAAAGAACCCCAATGCTGGTCCTGATTATCAAAGGTGTTGGGAGGAATAAACTAGATACAGACATAACGTTTAACACTAAAAGTCCATGCTCTTAGACCAAAACAGAAATGCTACTTTCACCCAAAAAAATAAATAAATAAATAAATTTGAAAAAACATTTCAAAGTAACCTCTTAGATAATTGATCTTCTGTACTACTATAATCAGGCAACACCTCATATGGGTAACAAAAAGGGAATGGAAAAAAAAATGTTACCTACCTCTCACAGTTCATCACAAAATATAGCACACAACAAAACTTACAGTCAAAACAATTATACCAAGAGATTTGGATTGAGGAACATTACACCAAGGAACTTAAGAGGCTATGTTAATGAGCAGAGTGATATGCTTTTTTAGAATAAAGGAAAAGAAAAGTACGAATATAGGAAGTGACAAGATAAGCCTGTCAAAAGATCATTTAATCAGTTCTTGTTTTTCTTAATCAGTTCCAGAATATGATTATTTTATAGATAACAATAAAAATATATTTTTTGTTCTTTTTCTTTTCTTTTCTTCTTCAGATGGATGGCACATATGAATTCTAAAGAACTATTCTCACACTTTAACTAAACATCAGCTTATAACATGCTCAAATAGGGGACGTTCACTGCTACAATATTAGCTGTTTATATTCTTACAACTAGGATGATCATATTTATTTTCACCACATTTTGTTTACCATTTGATGTTACACACGTAATACAAATCCAACCATACAACAAATAATAAACAAAAGGTGCAACTCTAATGATAAGCTTAACAAAAGGAGGTACAACAAATTTCATTAACTAAGCTTTTGCTAAATCAAGGGCAGGAAGAAGCGTGAGCCCACATTTTATTTGTCTTAACAATGAAATCTAGAGCACAATACAAGCATGCACATAAGAACACAGTTTATTAATTGCCAGAAATCAAAATATGAAATATGAAAACACCGCAATAATTGCTAGTTTTCTAGTTTACCTTCATTAAACACAACAAGAATCAAAATATGAAAAAAGAATTAAAATCAAAAAGTTAAAAACTTGCTAGAAAACACATAAACACAACAATAATTAAAAAACACTGAAAATATGAAAATAGAATCAAAATCAACTAGTTTACCTTCGTTAGTCTGGGCATTGGTGACGATGAGATCAAAATCACGACGAGTATTTCCGCATTTCTTGGATTTGACTCTACTTTTAAGTAAACCAAATGTTCAAATGATCAGACAAGAATCTACACGATTAGACAAACCATAACATCAGTACTACAGACACAGCTATCAAAGAACACATTTAAGATGCAGAAGCCACGCTACCTTTCATGTTCAGATGCTAAATTTATTCCTCATTCCACTTTATTCTCAAACTGCCTTTCTTTCAATGATTCCTTAAGAATTGCAATTGCTTCCGTGTAAGAAAGGCAGACAAAGTCGGTCGAAGCAACCAATCGTAGACGATCAATTGCACTTTTGTCATAACTTTTAACCATAAATTCCATATCATCAGGGCAATTATCAAGCAACCATTGACACATGAACTTCACGTATGCCTCTGCACACTTCATATCATTCTACAAAACATAAAAAATGTTTGGTATCTTCTAGAACAACAGGATTCAACAAAACCACAAAGCTTAAAAACCTTAACAATCAAAGATGAACTGCCTTAGCTGTCCTACAAAAGCACAGTTGGTCTATCACATTTTACATAGTAATTCAATAAAATCTTGTTTACAAGTTTCAAGTGGAGCCCTTTCCAATCTCCATCCATCTGTTCTGCCCCTTTACATGTCATCCACTTGTTTCAAAGGAAGATAGACAAGTGAAATAAGAAATTCAATAGGCCTAATATGAACTCTAGAAAAGCGATTGTTATAAATGCTTCTTTTTTTTTTATTATTTATATATGATCATGTAGACATTAGATTAACAATACTATAATAGCATATGACACCTGGACACCATATAACTGTTGCAACAATTTATTTCAGCCACTAACATGTGAGAAAATAACACCTACTTTTCTCTTATAAATGAGGACGTCTCACTTACTTTTCTCTTATAAATGAGGAAGTCTCAACAACCAAATCAACATTGTACTTTAATAACGAAAATGCTAAAAATGAACCAGATTTTTAGAAGAAAATTTGTCTATCACTACGACTAGATATTTCAGGTTTTTTTTTTTTTTCCAAAAGCTCCTTCAAAACACTGATTGCAAACCCAAACACAACACTAAAAATATAGAAAATAAATTATTATTTTTAAATATTCTGCGAATAATTACCAATAAATGTAAAAGCAATGATGATCGAGGCTTTAATCAATGCATTGCCAAAGCCCTAATGCTGGAATCAGGAAGAAGAAAGAGTCATCTCTATAGCCCTCTCTCTCTCTCTCTCTCTCTCTCTCTCTAAAACTCTCAACGTCATCAACTTGAAATGCAAGAAACTCACTGATTTTTCTAGATCCGTTTTCCATCAAAATAACTTTCAGGAAAGAAAACACATACAGATCTTTCGTAACCATGGGAAACTTCTTTGTAAGTTCAATCGAAACGTCGAGATCTTTCGCTATCTGACCAAACTCGACAGGAAGGAAGAGCTTAAGAGAGAGAGAGAGAGACAGACGGTGGTGCTCACCTTAGTAGACGATGGTGCTCGCTCCCCTCGCCGGTGCAGATGGTGGAGGCGGTGAAGCTTCGAAATCGAGAGAGAAAGAGAGAGAGAGAACTTCGAAATCAAAATTGAAATCGCCAATCGCTCCGAGATTGGATCTGAGATGAATCACCAATCACTTTGAGATTGGATCAAACGGGGCTGAAGAAGGTTGATTCGATTGGTTGAGAGATATTAGGGTTTAGAGAGGTTGAGAGAGAGAGAGAGAGAGAGAGCGAGCGAGCAAGTGTTTTGGGTCCTAGGTGGGGATGGGCAACGGTTTATCCGATCCACAAAAACCGCCCAACCCGCCCAATCCACATATAAATGGGCGGTTTCGCAAATATAATGCGAGTGGATGCAATTTGAAATATGTCATCTTTGCGGGTTGCGGGTTTAACCCGCTCTCGCAAAAAACCGCCCGCAGTTTATTTATTTATTTATCTTAACTATTGATTTCATTTCTATATCCCACCTAGATATTTTTGTCCAAAACAAAACACCCTTTATTTTTTGAACGTACTCTAACATTACATTTGCTAATAGTATTATATCAACTGAAACTGAATAAATACTGATCATATTATTATTGTTACATAAATGAACTTGTCCCGGATGAAGTGTGATTTGGAATTTTAAATTCCTTAATGAATATGGAGTTATAGTTTAGGATTTTGAAATATATGCTTGTGTTAGTTTATGATTTGATTTAGGATTATGAATGATTTGTTTGTGTTACGAATTGACTTTGTTGTATTTTTAATTTTATAATTTTTAATTCATTAATTATTAATGTTGGAGCATTTTAGAAAATGGGGAGAAAAGGGCCCAAAATAAATATTTACAAAATGGGAAAAAAATAAGGCTCAAAAATAATTTTTTAAAGAAAAAAGTCCAATCCGCAAATTGCCCGCAACCGCTCGCACATCCGCGAACCCTATCCACACAAACCACAAACCGCACTACGGGCGGTTGTGGGTTGTCTTTTCCCCAAACCGCATAAATGCGGGCGGGTCCAAACCGATCAGCAAACCGTCCAAATCTGAACCGCAAACACCCCTAGTCCTAGGACTCAAAATATACAACATTTGAAAAAAGAGAGAGAGCGCGTGGGATAGTTGGACATTTGGAGGCATTTTAAAACGCCCTCTTGTATCAAAACGGTGTCGTTTTATGTTAAAAAAAATGTGACGTTCATAAAATGTCGTTAAATATTAAAAAAGATGACATTTAAAAAAACGTCGTTAAATAAACGCCATTAATCTCACTTTTCTTGTAGTGTCAATTTCAAATTTTCAAATCCATTTCGTTAAATTCAGCTCCTTTAACAACGCAACTACTTTCCCACACTTTCCAAGAAAAACAAATAATTTTCTCCACAAGTGGACTCTTCCTATTTCTCTTAGCCTCCCAACTTCAAATTCCCATCTTGATCTGTCTGACTAGTTGGCAATTAAGCGATGAGAATTCAAAAAGATAGTCAAATTCAATGTTGGAGGCAAGATCTTTGAAACCACAGCAACAACACTTGCCAATGTCGGCCGAAATTCCCTCTTCGGTGCAATGTTCGACGAAAATTGGAACCTCTAAACCCACAATTTCGATGAATACTTCATCGACCAAAACCCGAATTGCTTTCTAGTCCTCCTAGACCCTCTCAGAATAAGGGAGCTCTATACATCCCTAAAAAGCTCCTCCAAAGAGAAACCCTGTTTTATGGCCTCCTCGACTATGTTCGGACTGTGAAATGGGGCCAATTCGATGGAAATAGGCTCCAATTTTCATAGTTTGTGACGGGCCAAGCACCTGGCGACGACACTGCCATTCGGCCCGGCCCAGATAGCGGATGCTATGTAGTACATGGTAGTATGGTACATGTCTATGATTGGATGCTAGAAGAGCACCCCCCCAGTCAATCTTGACTACCAGAGAGTTAATGATGTCGGTTGGATCGATTCGAAGACTGTCGTGGTCATCACGTGTGAGCGGTTAGGCCACAGTGGTGGCGGGATATGTCTATTTAGTGCATGAACAGGGTAGCTCAGGCATAGATTTCAAGTCACTCATGATGATCAAGTGAAAAGCTACACAGTTGGTGCTTTGAGTTTTAACTCAAATTACAAGATTTAGTAGTTGTAAAGGTAGGAGCAATGAGTATAGGATTGGTGTTTAGGACCAAATCACTGGAAAACAGATTGATTTTTACTATGAGCCAATTGGGTGGTCACTTGGTGAGGCTGATAGGCTGCAATTTTCACATAGCACTAACCGTTTGTTAGTTGTAACTCTGTTTCCTAGGAACGACAATTGTTACATTAGTCTATTGGATTTTAGGGATAAAAATATGGTTTGGTCTTGGTCTGATGTTGGAGCTCCAGCAACCAATGAGAGATGGGTCCGGGACGCCATAGTAATGGAGGAGACTGGATCAATATGCGTGGTGAATGAGTATGAGGATTTGGGGTTCATGGACTTGAGGAGTTATGGTGGGAGTGTGTGGTGCTGCTAGAGGAGCCGGTTGATGAAAGGAAGATACCTGAGGAACTGTGTTACCCAAAACTCGCATTGCACGATGGACAGCTTTTTTTGTCGATGAATGATAGTATTTCAGTGTTTTGTGGTACAGATTGGATATTAACATCGAGGCTTCACCAGAGTTATGGTGGTTCAATTTGTGATTTTTCGGTTGGTGGTGATAGGCTTTTTGCTCTTCATAATGAGGAGAATGTGTTTGACATATGGGAGACGCCACTAGCGCCAATCACTTAATTGTGTGTTTTTTAATTTTGATCTTAATTGCTTTTCTAGCCTTTTTGTCTTTAAATTTGTAGATGGAGTTGGAGATGATGCTTATCGGTTATAAGTTGAGGGTATATGCTGTATGTAAATGACAAAGTAATGAAACGGATTTCTCAACTACCATAATTTGAAATCTTTGTTTCCCTCCACTAAATGCATTTACAAGTTAAGGATATACTTGCATAGTTGCATTTATTGTCATGTACTTTTCTTTTTTATTTTGCTTTGTTTTGTTTTGTGAAGTACAAGGCACTCTCATTCTCTTGTGGACCTTATTTTCTTTTGACCGCTAGCTTTTTCAAAGTTGATTCCTCTTCTTATTCCCTAGATAGAGAGAGAGAGAGAGAGAGAGAGAGAGAGAGAGAGGTATATTTGATTTGCATGTGAGTAGTTCAACTGCTTGGGTGGTGAATAGATTTTGAGGTAGCTCACTTGGAAAAAAGTTGTTAGGGTTTGCATTGCTTTCATTCCAGTTTGATGTGTCAGTTTGTGAACTATATGCAAGATCATATATACATTGAATCTTTAATATCTTGAGCATTTTGGGGCACCAAATCTGCATATGATCACAACCACATCAACAAATCATGACTACTTTCTTTTTAATGTCTTTACCATTCAAGCAGTCATCCTTTGTTCGAGGGTCCCTTTGCTTTTGTCAATTTTTTATGACACTAAACTAAGAGGACTATCACTTAGGGTTGGCCTAGTGGATAAAACTCTCCCTTATCATCTGTGATGCTGAGATTGGAGCTTGATTACATCACTAAGGGTTGACCTAATAGATGAAGTGCTCTCTTATCAAGTGTGATGTCCAAATTCGAGTCTAACTATTACGTAAACTACTTAATGCACGAGACTTATACTATAGTGAGATTTGAGAAAGATAATATGTACACAATGTTACTTCTAATTTTGGAGAAACTGTGTTGTTTCTGTGACTCAAACCCACGTTATGAGTGACGTTAACGACAAGTCTTACTGTTATGACAAGCCTTACTATTGGGCCAAGCTGTCCTTTTGTTATATTTAAAAAAAAAATTAAAAAAAAAATTAAAACTAGTAGGGCTCCCTCTATCCTTGTGCAACTTTGAAATATTCATCAAATTGTAGTAGATTAAATTATGTTCAAGCTCCTACAAAAGGAACAAATTCCAATTTAATCAGAGCCCCATAGAGAAATATAAAACTCATTTCGTATTGACTCTCTCAAAGGCCAACAGTTTTTTAACTAAACAACAGAAAAACAAGCCAACTCTAGTGAATTTTAAAAAATTTCTATCATTAATGTTGATAATAAATTATGCTAAAATATGATTGCCTTAGTTCAAGTTAAAAGATTTGTTAGCGTCGCACCTATATACAAGTCAATAGCATGAACATTTTAATCAAAAAAATAACTCTGGAAGGAGAAATCATTGTCTCACAGCAAATGGATCCAAACAATGTATCTTACTTTTGTACATATATAATTCATAAGCTGAGAGTTCTGACACCAGATCAATCTCTGCAGAAAACAATATTAAAATCCAACATTTATCGATAATGTCGCAAGAAAGTTTTGTTAATCCAACAAATAATCCACGCTCAACGTGCAAAATTCAAAAGTTGTTCCTAAATCACAACACGAAGCTTTCTACAATGCTTTTTTTTGTTGTTGTTGTTAAAGCATGCAGTTAATTTGAACTAGAACGGAGAAGAACAGCAAATAAGAAAGAATGAATGGACAACATGAGGCACATCAACGAATCAAGCATAATTCGACATTGTATTTTTGCTCAAAGGCAAGTTCATTGAAAGGCGATGTAATTTGCTCCTTGTTGTAAGCATGGCATATCGTCAATATGGTCTTCATTAGACGCCAATTCCAAGTAGCCTCGCTCAGATACAGTTGGTGACAAGAGAAACCAGATAGATGAAAAGAACAAGTTTGTTAGCATCATTAGGGAACTTATGGACACCATAAAGTAATCACAACTTGTGATTATTTGTAATTATTTATTTTTTGTGCGTGCACGCATTCGTGTACGAAGGAGGAAGCGCTTCATGATTCATTCAAAGGATGGAATGTGCTTTTTAATGTAAACAAAAATAAAAAGGAGTAAGTTCAAACTTGAAATAAAGAAATGGAAATGTAACATAATATGCACCAATTTTAGCATAGTGCTATATTTTGAGAAAGAATTTCAAGAGATTCATTTTTGTCGAAATATCAAACAAATAAAAAATTTGACAAATTTAAAATTGACATTGTTAGAAATTGGGCTGGGTATTGAACCCAGGTTTGGGCGCCCATGTGGCATGACCCATGGCCTAGTCAAATTACCCATGTAATTTGAATTTGATTTCCTGACTATCCTATTTGTTAGGATAACCC